ATGCACCGAGCGGCCATTTGGCTTGGCCCCTCGCGCCCGCCTTTATGGTCTAGCTCCATGGGGTAGATCAATCAGCCCACAGACGTCTACGAGCCGAGTTTCATGGCCAGGTTGCTGTCCTCTCGTTTGGACTTGGTTAAACCCGTCCTACGCTCCAATAGGACTTCCCACCTTTGGCCTTCGTACCCTTAATTCCCAGTACTCCCTGAATCTGTCGACGAATCAAGGACCTCTGAGGTACGAGGTTGACACAGGGAATCGCGCGGAGGCGGGGGGTGCTACTACTGTGTGTACTCCTTGGTTTCCCATGTCAAGTTCGGCAAGGACGCTCCTAATGGCGCACACACAGAGCGAAGACCCTAGAGTTTCAAGACTCATGGCGCCTCGCGTCAGTGTAACCACTGGCGCGAGGACAACCACGCAGAGTCGCCTCTTCACTCCCTCATCCCCAAGGGTGAGTGGGGGGGGGGGGTGGGCGCCCCTGCCCCTTTCCCAGCCAACAGACCAGTGCCAAGGCAGGGTCTTCTTTCCCCGTTGATATTTATATACAGTAAAATATTATATAAAGACAATCAAGCTAATAAATTGTCTGGGTAAATTGGAGGAAAATAAATTTATTATACCTGGATTTAACACGGAGTCTCTGCAAATGAAGATAAAAAAAAGTAAAAGCTAATCACAATCAATATTGAGATAATGAAATTTATACATCGTAATTAAGACAATTGAGCTCATAAAAAGATTTGTAAATCCGGGGGAAAAAAGATACAAAATAAATAAATGAATGAAAAAAAAACACACTTTTATTCACGTGGGTTAACCAATATTTTAATATCGTTCCTGTTTGATTAATATGTCCTCACTTCTTTTTTCTAGATTTAATTCATTTTGTCTCCTCTCTAATTGTAAATACGCTGCTGTACCACCTCATAAGCATAAATAAATAATTTGATTAATAAAATGGAAAAGGGTTTAAGAACGAATGTTTCTTTTATAAACAAAATAGTATTTCTATGAAAAATAGACACTTCGGCCAGTTGAAGTTTTTTTATTTTCTCAACGTTTCGACAAAAAACTTTTGTCTTCGTCAGGAGAAGTAAATAAAAAAATTTAACGCCTTGCGAAATGCTTTACTTTTATTTATTTCTCCTGACGAAGGTAAAAGATTTTTGTTACAATTACAATTTTATTTTATTTCCAAAGCGCTATATCCCGCAAGGGATACCTGCGCCAAACAAGGAGAAAAGTTTATTTACATAAGTTATTTACATTAATCAACGCATGAAAACATTAGAGATCCAGATTTTGTAGAAAGTTTAGAATGTATTTACAAAATGAATTGAACTTTACATATGATTTTTTTATCGGAAATCAAATCGTTAAGTTCACAAACAACTTGTTCATTCTTTATTCTATAATCTTGAAATGCTGGACAATTTTTGTTGAAACGTTGAGAAAATAAAAAAAACTCTAACTGGCCGAAGTGTCTATTTTTCAAAGAAATATGAATGCCGGCCAGGCAGCCTCTATCTTTACGAAAACAGTATTTATCGATACACACTGTGGATAACGTAGAAGTAACCAAATTGACTAAAGAACATGACGCCACGATAAGACCATGAGACTATATAAGATTTCAACGTCGTATTTCTTCCGCAAGGTTGAATGGGGAAATTCCTTTTTGTTCTCAGGAGCTCAGTCAACCTTCTGATTCCTTCCGTGATTTCTTTTTTATTAGTTGGTCACTTGGCAACGGATTAAAATGTTTAGCAACGCGGTTTTTTTTTTTTTAGATTTAATCTCTAAGGAAATGTATAGTAGTAAATAAATTGTGGATTGTGTATCGAAGGAGGAGCTGAAAAAGATTTTAAAAAAGGATTTTTTTGAAGTGCTTCGAAGATTGGAAAAAACCGTTGGCACAAGTGTATAATATCTCATGGGGATTACTTTGAAGGGGACAAAAAATAGGCATTCAAGAATAAATAAATAATTTTTAAAAAAACACAAAGGTCGCGATACTTTTTGAACACACCTCGTATATGGGAAAATAGTACAAAAGTGAATGTGTACTTGGATCAAGTAGATAAATTAAGAAATAAGACATTTCCTGATTGTGTAACTGAAAGTTGCTGATTGCTTGAGCCATCTATCGGAATAAATATCAACTAATTGTTGATTTTTTTCAATTATTCCAGAATTGGTGGAAAACCGTTTCTCGATTAATCAAAAAAAGCTAACCACGTACGCGTTTCGGGCTGTTGGCTCGTTTCAGCGTGGTGCAAGCTGTACCTCAACGACCAAAAAATATATATATAATATACACATTGATATTCCATATTTTGATGGGCAAATTATTTTTTTATTCCACGATCTTCCATCAAAATGGAAGAAGAGGCAATTTGTCTATTGAAATATTGGGGGTTTTATGATTCCCCCAAGATATTCTGATCGAACAATCGAAAAGACAATGCCATGGTTGTTTTTCCTTGTTATCTAATTATAAATGATTGCTTATACTGTAAGTACATCCTATATATACATATGTCAGAATATAAACAATATAGGTCTCTATTTTTTGTGAATAAGAAAATTTTCTCTCTCTTTATCAAGATGGCGTAGCCTTCCTAACTTATATATCATTGTAGGAAATTATCATTATTTTTCATTTATTTGTTTAAAATTGTAGAATTGACTAGATAGTGTTTAAATGTCTCTCTCACACACATACTGCTGTTGTTGTTGTCGTGTCCAAAGAAGAGTCTCAGATGTCTCCATGCATCTCTATCACAGCAGTCGCAATGTCCTCAATCTTGGGTGTGTAAAGCTTCTGTTCTGGGTCCATGCCAATTTTCTGTTGTTGTTGTCGTGTCCAATGAAGAGCCTCAGATGTCCCCATTCATCTCTATCACAGCAGTTACAATGTCCTCTATCTTGGGTATGTAAAGCTTCTGTTTAGGGTTCATTTCAATTTTCTGTTGTTGTTGTCGTGTCCAATGAAGAGCCTCAGATGTCCCCATTCATCTCTATCACAGCAGTTACAATGTCCTCTATCTTGGGTATGTAAAGCTGCTGCTCTGGGTCCATGTCAATTTTCTGTAAGGCTGCGGCCATTGCTGGGCATGAAAATATGTGGGTAGGTGTTAGTAGTCACACATACAGTCCTTACTACTATTTTTTTAAAAAGTGGAAAAGGTTTGGCTTATTGGTGTCAAACTCTTCTAGTGATTTCGCCAGTTTAATTCACCAAACCGCTGGAAGGGTTCTCCGCTGATGAGACAAGCCTCTTTCTCAATATTTTTCCATCGCAGTAAGGATAGTTGAAAGTAGTTTTACTTTCGTTTTTAAAGTATCGTGCTGAATTATTTTTATTCTTGCATATAGATAGTACGCTATTAATTTTATATTTACACCTTTTGACTCAGTTCGCCTCAGTACTGACAAGGTTCAAGAGCCCCGTTTGATGATGACTTGCACTCACTTGTGAGATTAGATTTATAAAAGAATGAAAATATATTAAAGAAATTTATTATATATTAAAAAAGATGGTTCAATGTAAGACTCGAACCATAAACCTAGTTGTCGGAATTTCAAATACAACCACGCCTTATAAAATATGAAAAATCCAATTTCAAAGCCTATATTTGGAAGAAGAGAGGGCCTTACAAATAAAATATGTCTCTTGAAAAAAGGTGTCTTATACATATGGAAATATGAAATTTACATGTAAATTTCCTTTAGAAATTCCAAACAACAATTTATTGGTCGTTTAGCTTGACCTCATTCATAGCTAGGTTCTACATGGCATGAGGAACTAACAGAACGGGAAGAAAACCTTGAAGATTTGTATATTCCCACTTTAAAGCATCAATGAGATACTTGTTATTGGTTTGTAGGTTAATGATACTGAATGAGACACTTGGTAGATTACACTCCTATGGAACTACACTCATGGACACATCTTAAGGAAGAGGAAAGTCATATATCGCCTGTCTGTTGTTTCTTAAAAAGACAAAGGCAATTTTGTTTACACTTGGTTATCTCGTGTGTCTTCAATATAGGTCAATGTAAACGTTTAAAGTGTTATCTGCGTGCTTTATCCCTGTCTGGTGATCTTCTCGCATACCTGTGTAACCCCGGTCCGATCCTTACCAACTCTACAATAAAGGATAACGTACAATATTTCATAGGAATTTAGTAAAGGAGAATTGTTGAATGCAACTATGCAAGCTTTTAAACAGAGCATACAAGTGTCTTCCACCTTTCTAAAATTTAAAATGCATTCACGAAGGATAAAGCTTTGGTGGTAAAACATTTCTCCCCACGTTGCTGATTGTTGGCAGTTGTAAATTAACAATTTAAACTTTAGTTTTGACTATGTTAATTTAACATTAGGTTAGCACAACCCAATGAAGCCATCACTGCAAACATTCAAATTAAACTTAAACTTACAATAAAGGATAAGTACTGTTTTGTCTTTATATAGCAAATCGTGAGTTTTATTTAACTTTCTTTTATTGTTATACTCTTGAGTTTGCACGCTTTTCTGTGTTAGTTACTATTACTTTAGACCCTAGTAATTTGCAACTTTGTGTGTTATCCCGTTTTAGTAACTATTGTCATTGGCAAATATTTGTCATTAGAAAATAACTAAGGAAGCAAGGAATACATATTATGATTAAGAAAAAGGCATCTCCTTATCGTGCAACTGAAAGTTGCTGATGGCTTGCGCCATCTATCGGAATAAATATCAACTATTCTCGTTGATTTTTAATTATTCCAGAATTGGCCAAATACCCATTCTTGATTAATCAAGAAAAGCTAACCACGGATTATGATTAATTTTACTCAGTATTAATCCAAGGGATTATTTGATAGAATTTGAAACATGTTACAATCCCTCCCACTCCCAAAAAAAAAACTTAAATAAGAGTTTAAATAGGTATATTTATAATACAATATAATTCGGCTTATGATTGTAGAACGAAGTTTGAAAATTATACGCCAGGGTAGCCTAGTGGACATGGCATCTGCCCGGTAAGCGGAACACTGTGGGTTCGATTCCCATCCCTGGATACTTTATTTTTTCCGTTTATCATTACTCTTCACAATTCATCCTATCATACTTCATCCCTAAGGTTAGAAATAATCGTTATTTCTCTTTGAAATAAATTTCGATTTTTCGTTCAAACGAAAAAAATTGCGATATAATTTTCAAACTTCGTTCTACAATGAGTATATTTGCTTAATCAATTCTGAATTTGAGTATCAGTTGATGGTCTATTAAAGGAAAGAGGAATAATGTATCTTAAGGAAATTCCCTACAATAGCATATCGACATTGCTCTGTAACACTGAATAGATTCCTTATTTGAGATATCGTAATTCTTATTTAACGAGAAATAAAATGTCATTTTCCTACCAAATTTGTCTTTATTATTTCCTAATATTATTTGAAATTAATGATTATTTGGTCTATTTTTATTTATCTTTAATAATTTCCTTCTTATAGGTCTATTCCTATATCTATTTGAAGAATTGAATTTATTTTTTATTATTCTCTATTGATTATGTTTGGTTCAGCAAAAAAAAATCTGTTTTTTTTTTTTAATAGCTGTTCTGATTCGATTTTAATAATGATTAACTGTGTTTTTTCAATACATAAATTTATCTTATACTGTTACGCTGGTGAACTGAAGTACTTGAAGAAAACATCTGAGAATGCATTTTTGAAAATTTAAAATTGAAAACAAGAATTTACTAAACTTGTATGGTCTTCGAAAAGTACATAAACCAAACACACTATTGCGTCTTATTGTTTCTTATGCTGGTTTTCCTTTTTACCCTCTTGCTAAATTTATTTCTCCCTCCCAAAATCCTATCCTACAGTCTCAAAGTGGCGGGAAGATGTAAACAGGTAGTACAGGACGTAGGGAGTTTAACTCCTGGTAGGGCCACCCTGTGCTACATACCCGGCTAATGTAGGAAGGTATCAATTGGTAGCGTCTGTTCTCCATAGGAGTGGCTACACTCCATGTCAGGATACCAAAAGAAGTAAATTCACACTAAGTGGTACTTCCAGGTCTTCAAACCAACAGCATCCCTTTTTCCTTCTCCACGAGGAATAAGCACAACAACAACAACAAATTCATTTCTTCTCAATCATCTCTCCCCTCCAGAAATTACCTTCCCACGCCATCCCAAATTCGACAGTAGCTGTAGAAACATTCAGAGACCTTTCCAATTACAATAACAGCCGTATGGTGTCTTTCGACGTTGAATCACACTACACTTCAATTCCACACAATAAAGGTAAATCTTTTATTCAATCCAATATATGCCTTTTTATTATCTAAAGATTTAAATATTCTTCTTCTTCCTATCTCCACTCAATCATATCAGGATGTCAAGTTTGTAAAGCTTGAGAATTTTGAGGGTGTCTGCCGGGGAAAAGTAGAACTCATAAATGAATGAGTCAATACAGTCAATAATGTGTTTTGAGGTTGCAGGTTGATAATTGCACTTAGTACATAGTGGGAAACCCTGCAACCATTCTGGAAAGTCATTGTCCAGATTTAAATATTGAATGCTATATATTCAGAAATATATAATTATATGCAAATATATTGAATCTTTACCGTGTATAAATTGAACCGAACAAATCATGAATTTCAAATAAAAACAGTAGCTTTCTTTAAAAAAAAGAAGTATTTCAACAACCAGAACTGTACTATAATACTGCAGTTTTGTAGGATAAGATGAGAGATACAAAGTGGACTGTCTACAGTGAAAATAAATTCAATTTAAATACAGCAATTTTTCAGCAATTTACGGAAAATTATTCTTTTGGATATCTCTCCAAAAGATAGTCGTAGAGAAGAAACCATTCCATTTTATATTCTTGATCCAAAAGGTTTCAAGTACGTATTAAGAGTAAAAAAAGACCAAGTGCGTTGTGATTATCTTTTCAAATAAAGAAATATATTGCAATTTGTCTTTTTAAAGCAGTTTTTCCTTTCAATTTGATGAGAAAGTCAATTAGAGGACGCTAGAAGATCACAAACATGGATCGAAAGCTTGTATCTTAGCTACCAATAAAAAGTCATTTATCACCAAACGATCTACTGTCTTTATTTATCAGAAGAAATTTTATTTAGAAGAAAGACATCTTCTAATAGTGAACTAAAATTTGCTTATATCTTGCTCCATCTGTTGTAATAAATATTGTAGCAAAGTATTTATAATTTTATTAACAGAGTATCATTTTTTATGTTTATATTTTGCTATTCTGTGAACTTCCCTCATTGCTTATCTTTTTTATCATTCATAGTTTGTTCTTGATTTAAATAAATTGCTGTGTCATCCCGAAGTTTTTTTTTTTTTTTGTCATAATTTTAACCATAAAGATATTATTAAAAAAACGAAAAAAAAATAATGTTAAATAAATAAATAAAAATGAATAAGTAAATAAATAAAATAATTAAATCCCCACATCATTCCCCTGGCTGCCCATGAACTTGAAACTGTATTATAACTCTAATGTACCAATTTATACTTTTATAACGTTTCTTTAACTATCTGCTCCCTACAGTATCCTGTACATATCCGGGACTCACCTCTTGACTTGATCTCCTTACCAGACCCACCACTGAACCTTCTTAAGATGAGTCCGGAAAAGTCTTCAGATGGACTTGAGCGGGCGATGTAAGTGTAACCCGTCCACATTTTGGGGCGGATGTTGTTATTCATCCCGAAGTTTGTCTTTTCTAATTTTCCACGTGGCAATATCAAATAATCGTTGATTATCAATTATTCCAATATTGACCAAAAATATTATTTCTTGATTAATTCTGGAATAATTGAAAAATCAACGAATTAGTTTATGGGAGAGACAAAGGTAGACGTGACGAGTTTCTTTAGTTAAAAAACTACGAGCTTTCGGACAATATGTCCATCAACCATCATGACTGGGTGATGTGATTTCCAGATTCAAATCTGGTCATCTACAGATAATAACTTTCCAGAATGTTTGCATGGTTTTCCCACTATGTACTAAGTACAATTTACAACCTGCAACCCCAAAACACATTATTGACTGTATTGACTCATCCATTGATAAGTTCTACCCATTCCTAGCACAGACATTATCATCAAAAGTCTCAAGCTCTACAGACTTGATATCTTGATATGATTGGGTGGAAATAAGAAATAAGAAGAAGAAGACCAAGCAATAGAAATCTACTGATGTACATGACTGGTACAAAGAAGAAGGGTCAAGCACCAATTCTGTTCTTCCAAGAGAACAACAGTCTTTGATTTACAGAATTAAGTCTTGTCATCTACGGACAATGACTTTCCAGAATGGTTGCAAAGTTTTCCCACTCTGCACTAAGTGCAATTCTCAACCTGCATCCTCAGAACACATTATTGACTGTATTGACTCATCCATTGATAAGTTCTACCCATTCCTAGCACAGACATTATCATCAAAAGTCTCAAGCTCTACAGACTTGATATCTTGATATGATTGGGTGGAGATAAGAAATAAGAAGAAGAATACCAAGCAATAGAAATCTACTGATGTACATGACTGGTACAAAGAAGAAGGGACAAGCACCAATTCTGTTCTTCCAAGAGAACAACAGTCTTTGATTTACAGAATTAAGTCTTGTCATCTACGGACAATGAATTTCCAGAATGGTTGCAAAGTTTTCCCACTCTGCACTAAGTGCAATTCTCAACCTGCATCCTCAGAACACATTATTGACTGTATTGACTCATCTATTGATGAGTTCTACTCATTCCCAGAAGAAATCATCAACAAGCTTTACAAGCTTGATACCCAAATATGATTGAGTAGAGATAAGAAAGAAGAAGAAGACACCCTTCAACAAACTAATACACGAATACAATAAATTAGAGAATAAATTATATACACAGGTAGAGATTTGCATATATATGGTCTCTTCCAGCAATGATATCCTGCAATTCTTTCAATTGGAATTAGTTCATATTTATTCCTAAGATGGCGCAAGCCATCAGCAACTTTTGTGTTGCACAATAAGGAAATGCCTTTCTCTTAATTTATCAACATGATCCCAGTACATTTTCACTTTTGTACGATATTTTTCGGAATAATTTAATACTAGCGGATGTACCCGGCTTCGCCCAGGTTTTTCTCGAGGGAATGTTTGTAGTCTAGTAATAAGAAAATATACTACACCTAAAAACTATCAGAGAAAAGAGAAACCACGGAAGGTGAACAGAAAAATGCTTACAATGGATGTTATGTTTACGATATCAAGTTAAATAAAAACAAAGATAAAATTTGCATATGTTGGTCACTATAAATTTGTATATTTGTTAGGCGAAATTAGAAACATGATAAAACAATTGGGTATTTAAAAACAAATGTAGAAATAAAAGTTGAAGTTTAATAAACAATGTTAAAGATTAGTTTTAATTATTAATCAAGATTGTGTGTGAATATGTGAGAAAGATGTAATATCGTTGTTGTTTTCTTGGCCGACTGTTTTACATATGGTGTTATCTTAAAATTGCTTGTTTTGAATATTTTTTAGATTGAGATTATTAGCTAGTATGTAAAAAAATTAACTCTGTTGAAATTTAATTTTGTATTTATATATAAATAAAATTAACTCTGTTGATTTTTTTTTGTATTTAATCGATAACAGCGAAGTTACGCATGTTAATGTTAGGAAATACCAAACAACAACAAAAAAGCCTTTATTTAGGGTCACTGACCCTATACAGGATTCACCAGAGGTATGCATAAGAACAAAGCAGTGAGACAAAGGAAATAACGATATATACAGAGTAAAAAGAAGAAAAAAAAACAAGAAAAGAAAAAAGAAAAAAATAAGAATAAGAAAGAGGGAAGCAAGAAATCAACACAAAAAGAGTAGCAGTAAGAAAGTGAGGAGTGAGTATCACTTGGCCTTCTTCTGAGATATGGACTTGTGGAAACCATAAAACGTCGTAGCAATATACTTATTCTGGGTCATATTGTCAATTATTGATGGAAGTGAAGCACAGAGTTGCCCAGTTTTGAGCATA